CTCTCTCTCTCTCTCGCTCGCTCTGCACGTGTGTATATATATATATATACATACCTACACCAAAGTCACACCCAACGCTTTCCAAGTACACAAAAGCACACCGTGCACATAATTAACGTGCGAGAGAGGGAGAGAGCGACAAAGACATGATGTGTGAGTGTGTGTTATAGTGCTTGCTCGCATGATGTTCATTTTGTGTGTGTGTGTCCACTCCGGCTACGATCCTATGAAAAAGTGTAAACCAGCCTTCCGCCCTGCAAGATCGCCAAGGCTGGCGCTGTTGTCGTCGTAGTTGCTTTCGTCTTCATCCCTCAGCCAAGTCCCATGACAAGGAAAGCGTATGCAAAGCCCACGTCCGAGCTCTCTGGGAGCCCCACACATCCGAACCCCGCGGGCTGCGAGGGCTTCCTCCCCCCCGAGGGCTTCGGCCACCCCGAGGGCTGCGGCCTCCCCGAGGGCTGGCACCTCCTCGGGGGCTTCGACCGCCCCTGGGACTGCGGGGCGATGCTGGCCTCAGCATGGAATAGCAGAACAGCATAATATGGGCTCTTATGTCATGTCATAGGATACATGCATCCCATGCTAATGCAAGACACGGCATGCACGAGGGAGGGTCACGCATTATCGAACTTTGAGGGCCCTCCCTGGCGTCTCCCATTGCATGTGGCGCAACGAAGACAGCCTGGACCCTAACAATCAAACAGCACTCAACCAATCTAACCTTTTCCGAGTCGCAGGAGGGCACTTCAAAAAGCAAGATTAATCATGGGAGGTTGGAGTTTGATCAATTGTCATGAGCGTCTTCAGAGTTATTGCCTTGAGGCTTCTGGGTCGAACCCACCCTCATCCAACTTAGGGTTTAGGGAAGCTGGTTGTAACCCCGGGGTCATGGCTCGCACCCTCAGCACCTAAGACCTAAAATGGCTACAGTAAGACTGGCATTCGTAGCAGGCTTCGTTGGAAGATCGCAAAGCAACTCTCTAAGGTTAGAAGTATGGGTTTCGCCCCTCGAAACTCGGGCACGGGCATCGCAGCTTCTCGGGCGGCTTGGCGCGGTGCATCAGCATAAGGTTCCCCTATTACTGGCTCGGTGAAACGAACACGGCATGCCGAACTTGTGTCGCTTCTTGCACCGCCTCTTATGCTCAAGGGCAGACGTCATGCTCCCAACGCCAGATGCTGGCGATGGGAACCCAAACCTTGCGAGCCTGAAATCACTTTATCATGCCATGTTTGGAGTGACCGGGGTCTGAACTTGCATCGCACGAGCTGTGCATGAGATGACTTCATACCTCTTTCGTGCCGTATATCTGCAGCATTGAGCCAAACGGACAGTATCACGCGAAGCATGCTCCCGGCGGCACGATTTCAAACCACACGCGGAATAAGACAATTTGGTTGTAGGCATCCCTTGCATTTTCGCTAATCGCCCTCCCAGTATTGTCAAAGGAACCCACCAAAAAGAACAACGCTCACATGCGACGACGGAACGAAGTAATGCACGGGCCTGATTCTGAAACATCAGGGAACCCCCTCACATCCCCTAACCCGACAGCTCGAGGTGCACTGAGCAAAGACAGAACCCACAGAGTGCCGAGAAGTCCTCCGTGCTTCGGTCTCCTATCGCAACCCCACCCCTAAGTCATGCAACCATGAACGGAAAACAAATGACACATCTTAGGAACCCGTAGAAAAGCCTTCCCGATGGATCCTTTTGGGAAAGCCCCTCGTAAGGGCAAACTCCTAGCATGCGACACATATCACCGGTTTTCTTCACTCCTCGTATGCAGCAACCCTCCACACAAGGACCAACGCGGCCACATGACAGCATCACCAAGACGCGGGTGAGGCGAAGTCATGCCGGCGAGGCATTTGCCTCCGAGCCGTCATCTGCCCGCTTCGGGCGCCAAACGCGACCCAAAGCCTTCCGTGGAACCCGACACCTTGACATGCACCTCGTGCCGTGGATATCCATTCGTACTTCTCCGGTGTTTCTTAGTAAGAATTAACTCAATAGCACGACATTGAGCCATTGAAACCAAAAAAGTCTCTTCTTATTTTGGAGCTGAAAATTTCGAAGCTCTTGCCCCGCTTTGCACGAGCATACAGCCAAGGAGGACCCCTCGGGCCGGGGTGTCAAGTCATCTCAGAGCTTGGAGGCGACGATGCACCTCTTTGTTCTGGTTTCTAAGGCTTAACATGGGAGTTTCCGAAAATGAGGGCTACCCTCTTTTGGGGTCCTTATAAGAAGGATCCTATTATTTAAGGTACTATATTAGGGTCCCCTATTTTGGGAAACCCCCAAAGGGGGCTTGAGGTTCATGAATCCATGAGGCTTCGCTTTGCGCCGTTGGCTTTTTCAAGGCCCGGTTCCTTCTGCAGTATCTTCGGTCTATTTGCGAGTGGAAATGTAATATACTCGCTTGTGAATATATAGAAACAATATAAATATAAGATAATATAAGGGTTTAGAGAAAATATTTTCTATGGTACGGAACCCGTACTGCAACGACCTCCCACCTCATTCCGACGGACAGCCGTTCTTCAGCTTCTGCCACGATCCGCCTGAGATACGCTGAGGTTTTGGGTATAGGGGTGCAAAATGGTTTAAGGACGTTTAAGGCTTACGGGCTTCGGGTTTAAGATGGGCTTAACGCTAAGATGGGTTAAGCGTGGCTAAGCATTTCTGAACAGTGGTGTGCTCGTGGAGCAGGATCTTGCTGCATGTCTGGGGTGCTGTTCTGTCACTGACATTCCCAAATCGGCCTACGCTGGAAGGTGTTCACCTCGCCTAGAGGGAAATTTCGAGCAGAGCTGGGCAGGAAGGGTCCAGCGCCTTTCGTTCCGGGGCTGCAAATGTCGGTGCATGTTGGTGCTGTCACCTTCTTTTTCGGCGGACGGCCCCGCAGCCCGTCAGGAAACATGTATGGGGCCCGGGCTTCAGTAAATCTTGGCATGTTGGAATGTCGCCTTGGTACTGCAAGTGATGTGCAACGTGAAACATCTTCGCAGTCTGAACTTCGCGAAGCTAGGCCTGTTGCTGATGAGACCGATGCTTTGAGAGCAGCTCCACATGGCATCTTCCGTGTCGCCTGTTTCTTGCCACCTTAGAAGATGGACGGTAGTTGAATGAACTTTACAGTGCAAATGCACACTGATTCTGTCGGATTGGCCAATCCTGCTAAACCTCACCCTCTCTAGCAAAATTGTTTTAAGCCCAACACCGAAAATCCTCAAATTATCGCCCTTTCAATCACGACTCTTTGCAAAGACTCAGGCGAAAGCATTTTCTTGGTCCGGCTGCCACTGGCCAGGGGCATCACCTGGCTAAAATCCACATCGCCTCGCAGGGTAGCAGCCGAACAGCCGATATAGGGTCTATACTGAGAGTCTGTACGGCCCCGGGTTGTTATTATGACAATGACTGTCAAATTTTGTTATTATCTTATCATTGATCATGATTGTCAACATTTGTTGGTTTCCTGCATTGCTGAAGGGGTTTCTATGGCGTGAAGCTATGAGATTCCGCACGAAGAACTCACACTACATCCGGGTTTACAGGCCATGCGCCCTGCACTTGGCACCTTGACCTTCGATTTCGCGAATCTTCTTCGACACGCCGTTCTTGAAGACCCGTGTAGCATTGCTCAGCGTTCCCAAGACGATCGTGGTACTCCTCCCGGGCACAAAAGCTTAGAAGCGCGCCCAAACGTCAATAGTGAAACGGAACGAGCCTCTCGTCCATTTCTGGGCTCATCAATGTCTCCTGGCTTGCAAATGCGAGCCGCAGCTGTAGGAAACACTCAAAGAATGACACACCCCCGGGTCCTTCACTTTTTGGTCGATGGGGGCCTGTCTCGAGCTTGGGTGCAGCATATGAATCGGGTTTGTTGGCGCAGTGGCCTCGACAGTGCAAAGGAACCTGGTGGCCATCGTGATGCCCTGAGCCTTCCAGTGCACAACAGACGTATAGCAACCACAACCACCCGTGGCGTGCAACACTCGTGCAACTAAACATTCCATGTTGTACATCGGGCTTGGCCCATGGCTCCCATGGCCAAAGCAGCCGCCAACTGCCTCCCGGTGCCTCGGCAGTCGCCCGACAGCCAGCACTGCTGCAAACTAACTGACAATGCCACCCTACCCAGGCTAGTTCTGACAGACTGCCTGATGCGCCAGCTGCGATTACCGGCACTTTCAACATCGACGTGGCCTCGCACATGAGCCATAACACCGAATCAAATGTGTGAGAACAATTGCCCAAATGCGCCTTGGCCAACAACACCCAGGCACCAACCTGACACATGCAGCAGGCAAGCCTTCATCGACATGAAAATCTGATGTGAGCAACGGCATATCGGTTTTCAACACATTTGTTTCCATGTGTTCTTGCCATGCAGCTATGCCTAGTACGCCTGGTCAAGTCGTGCCTGTGTATATGCTTCGAAACATTTTCGAAACATAATCAAGCGCAAATTGGAACAACAATCGTGTTGCTGCTGCAAGCATTATCAGTAACCCCAACATGTTTGCAATGATATTGTATACCGCTCATGCAAATTGCCTCGTCGCCAGGTTGACCACCAGCAATCGACCCTGGAAGTCGCATGCAACCAACTCAACAAAGCCCTTCTCCACTTCAATGCTGCCAAAACCTCCAGTAATGTGCCTTCGTATCCCACAATCTCGATCAAGTCCACGCCGGCTTCCTGCGCCTGTCAGTTGCGCTCGCACCAAGCAGGCATGGTATGGCAGACCTACCGGTGTAAACCCAGTTTGCACGACGGCTGCATTCGGTTTACAGATTGCAGTTCGGATGGGGAGTCGGCTTGATGTCAAACCATGTCAAACCCAAGTCGAAGGTTCTTGCACCGCACGTCCTTGGCACGACCTTGGTGTTGGCTAACGATGTCGACGAAGACTGTACAAGGCAGCTCTGACGAATCTGACAGGGAACGTGGTGTGCACGCAACCTGACCGTTGACTGCCAAAGCGAGCGCTCGCTAAGCCGACACGTCAAAAATTCTGAACTAGATGCTGACCGTGGAGAGGATGCATTGAACACCCTCGTGCTGACTGGCTGCAGCCAGATCTTCCGGCGTATCGCCTCGGTCGTTGGCGATGGGCTTCGCCCCCGCTTCCAGCAAAATCTGGGCAACTGTCTCGCAACCCGAAAGCGCAGCACCGCCCAAGGGGGTGAGCCCCGAGAAACTCGCAAAAACCCGAATCGTCGTGGAACTGTTCTTAAAACCATGGACCATGCACGCCGCCCGCGCAGCTGCGCACAGAAGGCGATAACGACCCCGGGGTCGAATCTGTGCGTTGACGTCCGCACGATGAGCCAGCAGCAATCGCGTAGTTTCTGCAGCGTCCGCATTTGTATGGGCGACTATGCTCAGAGAATGAAGCGGGCCATGCCCAATTCCCCCCAATTCGGGGTTGGGGTTGCACCTTGCAGAAAGCATGGCAGCAACCGTTTCGGCAGATGCCCGTGTCGCCACCCCTGTCAGAGGTCTTAAAAACATGGGATGTGCCCCTCGATCCAAATCAGCTTTTGCACCAGCCAGCACGTGCACTTGCTCTGGCGACTGAACCAAGGCGGCAGTGGTCAGTCCATTGGAAGCCGGCTTCTGCACCTCGGCCTTGAGCTCGATCAAAAGGGACAGCATATCGGCAGACGGGTGCGCCTTCACCGCAGCCATGATAACCGTCTCGCCATCAAAGTAACCGAACTCCGCCAGCCCACACACTCTCTGATTGACGTCTGCTCCCAGTCGCACCAGCGTTCGCACCATGTTCGCGTCGCCCGCGAGCACTGCGCACATCAGTCCGTTCATGCCGCGCCGTTCACAGGCGGCGCTGGAAAGGCTGCCGAATCGGAACTGATGTAGGAAAGTCGATTCATCCCAAAGCTTCTTCCTTAGCAAGCTATAGGAGCAAGAGCGAAACTACTCCGGAGTTCGACTTTTCTTACGTAAGCCGAATTCAAGTTCTAAAAGGGCACATCGGAATGTCCCGAAATAACTTGCTCTTGGCCCGGCTTTGCCACCCCAAGACCCCACGATCCCCAGGGATATCACCACTTGGATGCCTGGCACCAACGAGCCCTATACTGCAGAAAAACCGGCTTGCAGACCCTCAGTCGTCTAAGCTGAAGCACAGAAGCCCCAAGTCTGATTCATCCAGGTTGCGGGGTACTCAGAAATTTCTCCCGGTTGGCGACATAGTATCGATATGTGGTCATTCGGCCCAGAGAGGATAGATGAGATATCTTACCTGTGTCAGATTGCATGGATGTCAAGTTGCCTGGACGAGGTACGACAGACAAACAACAACACATCTTTGCAAAGCAAACTTTTTTGCAAGGAACTGTTTAAAGCCACTTCACCAATCTCCATGACACTAGCTCTGTCTGCTTCCACCGTGAACTTGCCGTCGGCGATCAGGTTTCTATGTAATTCTACAGACAGCATGTATTGCACGTCCTTCGCCGATTTCACGACGATCAAACTGGTGTCGGCTTTGTTGGACAGCACATGGCACCACAACCTAAGCTAGCAAAAAAAAATGATCGGAAATTTTTCTGGCCTTTGAGGATTGCTGCGAGCAAGTGCTTGCCTAGGTGCTCTGCTCTACACCACCCTCGTGACATCCACGACAGATAGTTGCACTCAGCACCAGTCGATGAATGTCTCGAACCAGGCACGGCAGCAATGAACAACTCTGCCGCTTCCACATACGCTGGAATGCTTCGGACTGCTCGTGCAGCATCCGACTTCGTGATATCTTCGTTTGTCCCTGCTTGGCGCGCGGTGATCTGCGGAATTGCAAACCAGTCGAAATATAAGAAACCGTTCGACACTCGCCCTAGATCAAGCCGCTCTGGTGCCGGCTGTCGGCCCATAAACGAGACTGGGTCTCCCTTCACCTGCACGTTCCCATCCAACACATTCCGCAAGGCCTTGCGCAGAACCGCGCATAGGTGACCCTGTGGATCTGGGTGCGATGCTCCTAGCCACTGATGGGAGACGAAGATCACGAACATGCCTTAGTTGCGCTGCGACGCCTGCACCCTCGAAGCCCACCCTGTCTTCTTGATGCTCGTAAGGGGAATACGGTTTGAGGGTGCAGGTAGGCTTGTGCATGAATCCTTCAAGCTATGGGGACACCGCAGGCATTTCCCTGAGACTGAATATTTGGGCCATAGACAACGTTACTTCGGATGAAGTATTCTCTTACTCGCCATAACGTAAGTCAGACGGAAAACACGCTGCTTCACTTCTATTTTCTTCCAAGAATATCTCCGTTGTTCAGTAGACGGCGGGAAATCATAAACCTTTCTCTCCCTGCTACTTCGATACTTCGATGAAATCAAAGGTTTACTAAACTTCACCACCTGGACACCTGGGCTAAAGAGTCTGTGAAACCGGATACATATCTATCTCTCTCTCTCTCTCTATGCATATATATATACATAATACAACATATGATAAAATATTATATATATATACACACATGCATACGTACATACATNNACACACATACATATGCTTGTGTTCGTTGTCTCACACTGCCCTGGCTGCCAACGATATCAAGCCCCAGCCGGAGGCAGATACAAAAAACATCTAAGGTTTACCCAAATTGAACTACTGAAAGGCGCGTTCCTATCATTGGGATTTCCGCTTGGAGGCCGGTCCCTACATGCTCTTTTCCTCTTTTTGGGAGCCGGAACCCCATCTAACATGCGGACTTCCAAGCCACCTGGTCGCCACACATGCAGAAGTCCCCGCTGAAGAAGCTGGTCGTGGGAGCGCCCTCCATCTGAAGGAAGTCCGACACCTCTCGCAAAAGAGTTTTGAGGCTTGGAGCCTTGAGAAGTTCGGCTAAAAATCGAGGCCACTCTACGGAATGATGTTAACGGCTGAGGGGGCAATCGAAGTTTTCTTGCTTCTCCCTTGTCAACATGCTCATGCGAGGACTGAAGCTTTATGCTGGGCTGGATACTGAAGCGGGCGTGTGGGGGGGGGGGGGGGGGGCAGCCGTAGAGCCTACAGTGCCCGACCCGTGTGTGGGTTCCATGCTAAATCGAGTCTACCGCCCGCCGACTCCACCGAAAAAGCCAGTATAGGTACAGAAAAAGCAAGTAAAGTTGAAGGGCGCAGGCAACATGAACGCCACGGACGCTCAAAATCTATACCCAACATCCGCAACCCCATCTCCTGGGCCTCAAACTTGAAACCCGCAGCCGAAAACGTACATTCTTAACCACCGTCCCCCAATCTTTCCGACGCACATGACACAAACCACCCCGAGATCTGAGACCCCACAGCCGATACTCCCAAACCATGAAGAGACCGGAAGCACATCGGAGGAACATCCTTTTTGTTTTTCCTTCCAACCCTCACCACTACGCTCCACCCCACCCCACCCCACATCCGAAGCTTCAAACACAAACCTTCATGAAACACCGAAACGCCAGAATACGCCGTACGGACACCCTAATTCCTGACGCCCTCTACTCCGCTCTCGAGACGCCACTAGCAGCTTACACACCCAGTCCTTCACGACATACATCGGGAAGAACATCTCGTGTTCAAGCTGCCGCCCATCCACGCCAGAGGAACAGAATCTCATGGCGTACTTGGGGAGCTCAAGAACTATTGTCAAGGGGAGAAGCTGCAAGAATATCTGACCAGAAGTGCCTGAAACCTTGGCAACAACCTGAAAGTTACATGTGTAACGGGTCATGGAAAAATACCTTTCGTGATCCTAAATCAAGACCCCTCCGTTCTTTCCTTGTGAGCTTGGCTGCCGCCTTTGGCCCTTGCTTCTATGGATAACTCTGCGTTTTTTTTGGTTCCAGACTACCGTGCCTTGGTTGTGGTCCTTAAACCGAACCCGTGCCTAGTTGTAGGATTCTCTAGCCAACATCGTGCACCGATCATGTTCTATATTTTCTTGTCGCATTTCTCCTGGCTCGAGATAAAAACCTTCAATTCCGAGACCTTCTTGATCTGCAGGACTGAACTGAATTGAGCACATGTTGTTCAATCTGCCGCTTCGCTTGATGATGCGTTGAGCACATGGTTGGCGAGTTCCATCAAAAGCGCTCGCCCGGCCGTTTGGATTCACCCTGTTGCCTCCAATTATGTTTTGCACAGTTGTGAGGTGAACCTCTGGGTTTTTCTCGCAATCCGGCTGCCAAAAAAGTTTGGGGAAGAATCTTCAATATGCAGTGCGTAGCGGATCCTTTTCGTGCCTCTTTGCTCTGTTTGTTTCAATCCACTCCTCCGACTTCCTCTCCCAGTTACTGTGCCTGCTGAGTCTGGCAGGGGTAGGCTGAGTCCGATGTCTCCTGACGTGGACTGAATGCACGCGAGACAAATCCGGCACCGTTGCCGAATGCCGCAAGCGCGCTGCCTGCACCGAGAAATTTCAAGGGCCTCACGCCGGGGGCAGTCCACGAGCACTGGAGGTGCGGTCTCGGTTGCTGCCCAGGCCACGCCGCGCCCGGCACATGCTGATGCACGGCCTTGGATGAAGTCCTGGATCCTGCCGACCAGGAAGGGTGGCTTTCGTAGCAGCCGGCTTTATAGTTGCAGGCGGACAATCCGTGTGAGGAAGTCACACAGTGGAAGGGAGAACGAAACGTGAAAAATTGAGGTAGGGGTGCGAGAAAAAAAACATGCTTTACCGAGTTTTACTTAGCGGACACGCATGCATCGCTGCCCCACGGGCCTGCAGCACCGTCCCTACTAGCGGCTTGGGACTATGGCCGCATCGCGTGACATGACCATCGTCATGTTGCAGCAAAATGCCCCTCCAAGCTGCGCTGCGTCGTAGGCTACGTAGTCTGTGGGCAGTTGAAGTACGCGCTCACGTAATGTACCTCACATATCATCACACACTCACTCAAAGAGTGATTGCATTAGACATGACTCTTGCAGACTTGCCTCGGCAATGCTTTGGCTCAAGTGACCGGGGGAAAACATTTGCTCTGTTGAAGCTGTGTGTAGTTGCGCGTGTTTCAGCTGTGACCAACACAAAGGTCATCAGCCGTAGCTCGAAGCGCCATGGCAGCAGACGATGCGACCTCAGGGCGCGTATACACGAAGGATCTGCCAGAGACGGGTTCTCATTATGAAGGCTGGCGCTTCATTTTGACAACTCAAATCTTGCGTGTAGCGCCGGACCCAGTAGCTGCCATCGTTTACGTCCGAGAGCTTGATTTAGCTTGATGATGAATCTTTTCTTTCGGCCAATTTGCGTCAAACTTGTCCGTAGACATGAACAAAACGGATGTGAATGGTTTCGCAGCAGTGGTTGCCGGAAGGCAGAAGGGCCAAAAAGGCCAGAGATCCACAAGCTTGTACAATCACGTGCACAATTTAGTTGTGGTCGTGAGGCTGTCCCCATCGTTGGCCAGCGGCACTTGCATGAGTCAACACATTTGGCCACGGAGGCAAACACCAAGATCCAAGAGCTCAGTTGTTTTGGATTGTCGGAGCTTGACAGCTACATGACATGGCAACCTTTTTTGTATCGCCACCGAATGGGTTCCGGTGAGCATCGGCTCACCAATGCTGGCGACATTGCGCTTCTGAAGCACAAGCTCAAGTATATCAAGGAACTAGACGCCAATTTTGCCGTTTTTTTTTTTTTTCTCCCGGACCTTTTTACGCCCGCGCGGTAGGAGAGGTCCTCCACTTGGCAGCTCACGGCCACCGACGGCGCGTCAGCGAGCGGCAGCCGATTGGGCGCGCTCGCACTCGCGAGGTCAAGCCGTCGCCCAGCGGGAGTGCGTATCGGCGCCCGGCAGCGGCGGCATGGACCACACCCCGAGCGCAGAGCAGGCGACAGCGCGTTGCAGGGCGACGGACAAGACGCTCCACCAACGGCGGGCCCAGCCCTGTGCCGCGGACGCGCGCAAC